TGTCTCCAAGCCAATTATGATTTTTTAATTAAATCAAGAAGTTATCTTTAAAAATGTTAAATTAACCATAACTCTCTTTTTTTTTATGAAAAAGAGTCTTCTCAGTTTGAGTGAAGCCCCTGAAAATGTCACTCTACTGCTCACACACAGAGAGTCCACACCCACCGTCTGATCCCTTCCAGTGAGGGTTTGCAGTGGTGCAATTGATCCCTGTGGTAGATGCAGTGACAGGCCCAAGGAGCCAGTGTTCAAATGAATCATAGAAGGAGAAGTGGAAGATGGCGAGGGCTTCTGTTTGTTCTTCCTCTGAATAATACAGCACAAAGACAGGCAGCAAACAACGCGTGGCGTGTAGCAGAGAGGGAGAGCGGGGCTGGAGTGAAACACCGACTGGTTTGTGACTGAAATCACAGAGGAGAAAACGCACGACTTTGTTTGAAGTGTTTTGTTGATCGTCAAACTTTGAATAAAGATAGATCAGCAAAGTAGAGAATAAGAACTCTTTGACCATCAAAATAGGAAACGCTGCAAGAAACAACGCTCCCAAACGGACGCCATGTATTCTCTACTGCATTTTACAGCATTCAAATGATTCTTTTTGGCACTTAATTGCATCGCTTCGGGGTAAAATAAAATTAATTGTATCCAAAATCTCAGAATGTGATTAAAAATATATGTGCAAAGGGCCGGGTAGGGAAATTTAAACCTAAATAATTGACAAAGCTGTATTATATTGCTGCAGAATTTATCCCCTCCTTAAAATGTTCATTTCACTATGCATGTGTTTTTTAACATTCATGCCCACCGCAACACACGCCCTCCCGCCGACCGTCCAATTTCCCCTCCTCTTTGAAATGTTCACAGGCAGAACGATGGCTTTTTCACCCCAAAAGAGGGCATATGAATTTTTCAGGCACTTAAATAATTAAGTTTAAAGTGTTTGGGGCGGCAGAGCGCTGATAAACTAATCTGAGAGAAGGATGGAGGGAGAAAAGGTCTGAGAGGGACATTAGAAATTTATAATTTTATCAGCAGCTATTTATTATTAACGCAGAGCGACCAAATTAGCATTCATAGACAAAGGGACTCCAGGGGAGGACGGCCTGTGGGTTTCAAGGTGATTTATTAAAACAGGGGAGTCAAAAGGAGAGCAAAGGGAACTGGTTCAGACCCCGACCAGGACCTGAATGTAACAGCGTTCAGTTAATGGAGATGGGATTTGTTAATATGAGCAGCAGTTTGAACACATTCTAATGAATCCCTCTTTGACTTTGACTTAATTCTCATGCATTCTTGATGTTATGAACTCATAGCTGATACAGCAGCAGTAACATAATTAGCTATAAATAACAATAAGTTAATTTTTCCCTTTTGTTTTCATGCAAATAAGTACAAGTGTATTAGATATTTATTGTTATTATTATTCAAGCGGGCCAGATTGAACACCTTAGTGAGCCGGTTTCTGCCCACGGCCCGTATGTTTGACACCTCTACTTTAATGCATAAATCATCAAATTCAATAGCTCAATGACATGGATTCTCATCAGCCTGAACCATGGTCAGAATCTTTAACACAGACTGAACACAATGATTGGATAAAACATCTGAGATCTGAGAAAAAAAACTATAAATGGATTAAACACACATTTAAAATACACATGAATAAAATAAGCATATATTTTCAAATCAAAATAAGAAAAAAAGACAAAAAAGATTCTACATCTTCTACATCTTTGTGCATCTCAATTTAAGTCTTCAAGGTTTTTCATTATAAAATAGTAAATGACTACACAGAGAATTGTAAGTTAAGTTGATAAAAATAATAATAAAATAAATGTGAGGTGAAAAAGACCCACTCACTCCCAGGCCTGCTCCCAGGCAAAGTAAAAAAAAATCTGAATACATTCAGGATCTGCAATTTATGAGCTGGTTGTCTGTCTCCAAACCCCGACATCATGTCAGAACCAAATAGTCAAAATGACATGTGACAGTCTGAGTAGTGACTCAGAAAATCAACTCATTTTACAGTGAAATCCACCTTCTCCCTGTTTTTAATCTATTTCTATTTCACAGTCTCCTAATCTGATAGTCTCTGCCTCACGCTGTGTTCTGCCTCCAATCTCATTTTATTGGAAATTTGAAGGAAAATGTCACACTGTGGTATTGCCTATTATCATCTAGAACAGAGGGGGAAAACGCCCACAGTGATGCCAGCAGCTCTGCACCCAGCTCCTGTCTGTGCAATGACAGACTGTAGAGGCTGACACTGAGAAGGGAAAAGTAAAAATACTATGTGGAAAGTTAGGACTTAAAGTGTCAGCGATACTGCATAATAAAATGTTTTTGTTTGTTGTTTAAGCATCTGCTCGATTTTAGGATGTTATAAAAAAAAGTCTTGAGTTTTAAAAGATTGTCAGTGACACAAAAGAGCATTTACCAGGGCGGCTGCTGAATTATATTACTGTCTTATTAGTAGAAGAATTTATAGAGTTGTACCTTTGGTGCATTAAAGTGAAAAAAAAAAGAATAGTCAGAAAAATCTGTATCTTCACATAAGAAAGGTCAGGGATTGAACAGGTGGCCTTCTAGCTGTAAGGCAAGAGCACAAACCACCCCATCCGCATTTGGCCATGTGTTAAAAATACAAAAAAAATTCCAGTATGCTTTCTGCACAGTGACAATCTATATGTAAATGACTAAATAACCTAGATTCAATGAAAACATATTTTATTTGACGAAAGCCGTCATTTGCAATTATAATTTCTAACTTTCACGAGGATTGACTGAAGCTACTCTTTTCTCCATTTTGAGACAAAGAAATCCCGTCCACTCTGTCCTTTGACCTGTGCCAGTTGTGCAGACAGAGTGGAGGATGCTGGGAAATGGTGCCTGCAGTGGTAGGACCCCCTCTGTGACCATATACGTATCCTCTTACTCGCTCAGAAAAACATTAATTTTTCAAATGAATGCAAATAACCTCAAATGATGAATAATTGCCCCCATATCAAAATTCAATTACTGTTAAACACTGATGAATAACTGATGGAAAATTATGAATAATTTCTTTGACAAGGACAGTCTCTCCAAATGAATGTGTCTGTCTTAATAAAGGAGGGCGCAGTAAAAATGTGATCAGTGAGAATTCTGCAGAAAAAGTAGAACATTATATTTTCACAAGCTGTGACGTGGCCAAAAGGCTGGTTCGTATTCGCTGGTATGTGGCTCTGTGATGGACTGGTGAAATGTAGATTTACTGTAGATTACTTCAGCTGAGTTAAGCATAAAACATTTTATTAGTTCATAAAATACACGATTAGAAAACTTTTGTTGATTTAAAAAAAAAAACCATATACCTGTTTTTGGATGAGTAACCATAAGCTATTTTAATCATTTTTTAACTACTACTATAACAACCATAAGGTTTAATTTTTAGATGTTTTTACCCCCAAAGTTTGTCAATATTGACTAAAGGTTCATTCAATTCTGGCTATTTGAACGTATTGCTCAGTTCTAACTGCTGTGTTTTGGGTAACGTAGCTAAAGCTAGCTTCAAGATGACATCATAGTTTGTGTGTACCTGCTGTAGGCGCTATATCAGAGGATAAGCTGATGTAAATATACACTAAGAATAGTGAAAACACAACTCATTATTATGGCTGTCGTTTAATGCCATTTATAGGTCAACAAAACTAAAATAGTAATTATAAAACATTGTCTAAATCTGCAACAACATAACACAACATTTTAGCTCTGACATTTCCACTATGAAAGCCATTTAAAATAATTAAAGTAATTTTAAAAATATATATTTTAAACTTACTTTTCCCATAGAATTACTCTGACTTAGTCGTCCATTGTACTATGAACTAGGGATTCGTTAATACATGGTAAAACGTCGGCATAAATTGGTCATTCCTCAAGGTAAAGATAACAACAGTTCTCTCTGGGAAAAGCGGAGAATATTATTCATCGCTCTCCACGCTACACTTTCGTGAAAACAGCTGATGTAACTGCACAGTCAGTAAATGTGTGCTGTGTTTTTGCCCAGGCTGTGAAAAGGAATTTCCTCCTGGGGACGACACTCAGCAAGTACGGGAACTGTGGCCCTGACGAACATGTGACAAAACAGCGCCCTCCTCGGGTAATTTATATGAATTACATTAAAAACCAAAGCACGATTGTAACTCAGGTCATCAACAATAGAAAGAACTTTTACCTTATTGAAATCTTTTCGCACGTGTGTGTTAACTCTTTAAATGTTGGTCTCTTTAAGTTTTAAGTTAAGGCATTTTAAGTGACTGCGAAGAACATAAAAAGTTTATAGTCGTTCATCCCGTTTCTTTTAAGCATATGTGAAAGAACGGTGACTCTGACAGGAAACATTCTGATTGGCTGTTTTGATTTGTTTCAGGCAGTGGTTGATCTGTCTTTTCAGGCTAATTATCATTATTATAATAATAATCATTATTATTATCATCACCATCACCGTGGATAGATCACCAGTCCATCACAACAACATGCAGAGATAAACAATCATCATCTCTATGGTCAATAAGAATGTTCTAATGTTCTATGTGTTTGGATTGTGGGAGGAAACTATACTGTATGAGAAAGACTCCATACAGGAAGACTAGGGATCCAACAAAAACTAACAAACTAGTGATTTAATTCATGTAAAACAATTCATGCTCACCACTTTTTCCACCCTGTGGCCACAACATCCTCTAAAGTTAAAAACAAACAAGTTGCTAATGCTTCTGTTGTTACTGTAACTGTACACGAGCTTCAGGTTTTCAGGTAAAACACATCTGCTTACTGAAGCACACGACCTGAACCCAGGTTTGACTGAACCTTGGCCGACTGAGGTTTGTTGAGCGAGCACCGACTCCACTGCTGAAAATGGACAAACTTCTACGAAGTGCTGACATCACCAAGTGTCCCAACAGAAGCAGGAAATGAAATTTGGCAACTTTGCACTTCTGCTGCCGTGCAGATACCCACACGTTGAGAGCACACAGCCGTTTGCTCTGCCATATCAGAGCAACACTGACTAGTTTCCTGCCGCCCTGGTGGCTGATGGTATGTAAATCACACAGATGTAGGAACAACAGGGAAGTGAGAGCCACTCTCTGTGTGTCTACAGCCAGCAGAGCAGATAAAAACAGTTCACACTCCTCTTTGTACCAACTTTGCTGAAGCCAATCAGACTTTGATTGAAGCAACAGGTAGTTAATGTGTAACAGCGTCAGTGTTAGGTAGCTCACAGCTCCGTGTGTGACGCAGTCACAAGACCAACAGCGGTGAAAACCAGGACTCTTGTGGGGATTTGGTGTGTTTGTGTATGAAGCTCAGCTGCATTTTTTTTTGGTTGTGAGGAACAAAGACCACTGCCATGGTGAGTGCTGACCTCTACTGTTTCACACTGTTTACTGTAGTATTCTTTTAAACTGACCCTGGTTGACTGTCTTATAACTGGTCTTCTTAAAATCCTTCTGTTTGGTTTGTAAGGCCGAGGACTAAGGTAGAATATGTTTGAGTACAATTCTGAGTGATGTCTGGTTTACTGTATAACTCTACCTTCACAAAGGCCTCGGTGAGCGCACTCATGACCCAGTTATCTGAGGCAGGAAGTGAAGTTTGATCGTTGTTGTTGGAGAGCCGGGGGAGGCAGGATCTGATGATTTTGTCAAAACATTGTTTTGTTCTTTTGACAGACTGACACAGGCTCCCAGTTGCCAACATCTGACCCGCCCAACAGACTTGACCATGTGCAAGGTCAGGTTAATGAGGTTAAAGTCATTTTGAAAGACAACATCAATAAAGTGCTGGACAGAGGGGACCGATTAGACGAACTGATTGAGAAGTCGGGCGACCTACAGGCCACGGTGAGTATTTCATCATAAAACTGTTGAAAACTGTTGTGAGCCAGTTACTCATCAGTAGAGCACTGACACCATTTCCTTATCGCCGGTGTTCCATGAACAATAAACATATATGACCACAGTGGTATCGTACAACGTGTCACTTTTGTAAACATTACAGAGCAGTGTATGTGACGTGAACCTGAAGTCAGTTCGGTCCCAATGATGGCTAAATATAAAGAATCAAATGAAAACAATAAATATGCTTATGTCACCATGTCAAATCGTCAATTAGTTCGCAGAGAGAGAGAGAGAAAGAGAGAGAGAGAGAGACTGCCATTATTTGTTTTGTTACGGAAAAAAATGCATCTTTGTCAAATTTATGTTATTATCTCTGGATTGTTATGATTCATCAAGCTTAAATAGAATTGTTATTTACTGTGATTTTTATTTTATTTCCCAAAATGTAGGGAACAATTAAAAGGAACTTAATTTCAGTACCACGGCAAACCAAAGGGGAACTCTAATAAACGTAGTTCAATATAATGTAGGAATTAAAGGACCCTTTTATAGAACAGGGGGACGTGCCGGAGAACGTCTTTCACACCAGGTCATAACCAGCTATTTTGTCTCTAACTCCGATAGAGCTAGAGCAGAACGTTTTGCAGTGTCAGAAGAATTTAAATAGTTTATATTCAAGGTTGGTTAAAATGAAACTATGACATAGGAGAACTTTTTGCCTCATTCCTGTTTGAATAGTATTTATCTCATAATTGACTACCATTCATCTCATTATCTTCCTGGTCAGTACCGGTCGGCTCCTCTAAACCATTGTACTCCAAATCTTCCCAGCACTGATAAACAGTCTGTTCACCTGATCACATCAACACCCCGCTGTTCTAACAGCGTTCTGTTTTTCCTTCCGTTCTCCCAGGCCGACTCGTTCCAAAGAACATCTACACGTGTGGCAAGAAAATATTGGTGGAAAAATGTTAAACTAATGATTATAATTGGAATAGTCGTGCTGATCATCGTTATCCTCATCATCCTCCTCGCAACTGGGACAATTTAACTATTCACCAACCACCGGGGTCTGAAGGCAATGACAACAGAGGATAAAATTCAGTGATGGAGAAAACTTTGACGCAGCTTTTAATGAGTCCGCATTTCAACTTTTATATTGTAAGATCAGAATAACTGTAAATGTCATTTGAAAATATTAATTTTTATAAATAAACTGTATATATTAGGGCTGTTAACTGATTAATTACAGGGTAGCTGTAGATTAATCATGATTGAGGTAAAATAACACTCAACAAAATACAACAAAAATGTATTTTAAAAAAATCCAGAACAGAAGGACAAATAGCAGCAGGTGGATGTATGTGTTTCACACCTGTTTTTAATGGTGACTAAACCAAATGATGGAACTGTTGATGGAAAAATGCACTATTTCTAAGTCAATTCCATTTTACAAATTAGGGAATGCATTCAACATATTTAGTATTTTTACCAGCCCTAGTATATACATATGTATTTATATATTTATACTTACATACTGTATGCATGTATAAAACATATTTGAATTAATTTTTTGGGTCAAGAAAGATTTCCTCAAACACTCCAAACTTCTGAACATAAAACCAGTGAATCACAACAACTATATGTTAATTACATTTATTTGTTGCATTTCTTCATGTCCAATACGCTGTATATATTCTGTATGTTTATGAATGTAAAATTCTTGTAACGTGTAATGTGTGAGTGATGAGTACAATCAGCGGATACATTATAACAATGTTTTTTTTTTTTCACTTCCACAAAACTGATTATATACTCGACCTGTGTGAAAACCCAATCTCACAAACGTATATAATAAAATTAAATTTACAAAAAAACAAAACAAAAACAAAGCTATGGTTGAAAGCAGTAAATACAAAAACAGGCAGAACCAGGGACCACTTATACCTAATATTTAAAAAAAAACAAAAAAAAACAACAAACAAACACAGCTTGCTTTAAGATACAACAAATACTCTGGTTAATATAGAGAACATGTACTGTAGGTCGTACTGATCACCAGTCACTCTCTAACGCTCAGCTAAGTGGCCTGTGCTGGAAACCATCATGTCTTTGGCCAAGTGCTCCACCAGTGCGTACACCGCAGACTTTTCTTCATCACACTGAACCTACGGGAAACAAACACACACAGGTCAGCTGGGGGGGCGAACAACAGGCAGGTGAAAATACAATGAAATAGGAATCCCCTGTGTTTAAAAAATGTCCAGTGTAAAAAAAAAAAAGGAACTGAGAACAATTATTTTTTTTCATGTTACACTTTAAATAATGTTAGTCCATAAGCTAGGAATCCTGAGGTGTAAAAAAAAACTTTAGTTAAAGCCCAAATACTGAATATTACACATTCAAGACAGCATTACATGCAAATATCTGCAAATGTAGTAAAATGTTGAATTATTCTGGTTTTACAAAAGGTTATCAGGAGAAGGTTTTGTTACAGGAAAAAATCAAATGAAAAAGGAGGAGTCTGTTCCAGCACTGCCAGTAAAGACAAATACAGTAATACATATAGACAAAGTACTTTATCCCCCAGTGCAGTAGAATCCAAATACGGACCAGGATTTAGCTCATGGACTACGGGCTACGGGAGCTAAATAAAGAAACAAGCATTTAAGGTAAATATTAGATACAAATGTTAGCAATAGGAACTGGAATGTCCAGAGAAAGCTGTACATTTTCTTTGAAAAGCAAATACTTTTGTTTCAGATTTATTATCATTTACTTGTGAAGGAGTAAGGGCCTGTAAAAAATGAAAATGACATGTGTATATTTTAACGTTTTACATTACATACAGTTGCAAAGAAATTAAACAAAGAAAGAAAGATGACAAAGCTGGACGTGTCCCATATTGTTTAGTTTAGAAATGCGGATACAGGATGTTGTAAGACCATACCAAATGGCAGCATTCGAGAGCGTATGCTTCTCGTACCCAGTCCGCATTGAGCGGGCCCTGAGAGTATCTGGGAGTCAGCTCATGGCCTGCAAGGAAGCTCCGCTGGCAGGTACAAACAAGGTATGTCAGAGTTAGGAGACAACACACTTCCTTTTCTGTTTCCTTGCACATCCTTAACTTTGGCATCCATTTACTGTAGTAGCAGTACTTTACCTGTTAACTTTACAGTTAAAAAAAAGAAAGCAAGAAAAGGTGCAAAAGAGGCAGCAGAAGGCCGGCTGTTACAATAATCGCCACAAGACTGTAGCCGCTATGTTACCACTACTGTAAAGCACTTGAGGGTGCTGAGAAAAAGAAATTATTCATAATGTTACCAAACAATCAAATAAATAGAACTACTTTAAAATAAGGCATGTGGTAATTATCCATTGATGCGTACCTACTTAACGATGAGGTTTTCCCCAATTAATATGGCTTGTAGCTGTTGCTGTGACCACCACGCCGCGGTGACTTGCCATATCCAACGGACTGATCTGGGCATGTATTAGCAGAGGAGAGTATTTCAAAGTATTTCTTCCATTTTTATGACTTCACCACTGTCAGGAATTGAGTGGGATGTCTGAGCAGAGAACTTACTGTCATAGTCACCGTAGCCATAATAGTTGTTGTAACCAGAATAGTCATAGCCACCGTATCCTCCGTAGCCCTGATTACCGTAGCCGTAGTTGTTGTAGTTTCCATAGCCCTGATTCCAGTAGTTGCCGTAACCCTGGTTCCAGTTTTGATTGGGTCCTGCAATAACAAAAAAACATGAGCTCCAATATACAAATATTTATGAAATATTACAGGCCTCCACGGTGAATAGGTGAATACAGGATTTTTGACAAACTAAAAAAATCTATATATGAACATGTGTCAGTTAGACTTTTCCTGAGAAAGACATTTTAAAGAGGACCTTGTGCTGCTACTGTTATGTGAATTAATATGGTTACATGCCCAAGGAATTGATGCACAGGAGTCACAAGAATAGAAATCTTGCATTATACCACTACAACAGTGGTGCACACCAGGTGAATAGACAGGGTGGAGGCGCAAGAACGACTTCATGTAATCAAGGCAAAGGTCGAGCAGCGAGCTCTTGACAAAGAACTACGGCCCATGTTTGATCAAAAGTCAAGACCCGATCTTTGACATTGCTTTGTGTTAATTAGACTAACAAAAGTTGTATGGCAGCATTGGCCGCCTTTCAATCTATTCAACATCACAAACATCTGGTTTGGGGACCATTTTCCAGATTTTGGCAGATCATATAACATCTACTAGGCAGACACATTATTTCTGTGCACCAAAACCCTGACGACGCCAATTGCGCATAACATGTCCATTTTGATACAACTCAATCATATATGCAGTAAAGTACCTGAGCCTAGGAGAAAAAACAAAGACTCATTCAAAACTGTACAGTACCATGACTAAGGTCAGAAACCAACAACAACTTATAGTCCAGACTCACCACCACCTCTTGGGCGGGACCTGGATGAGTATGCACCTCTGCCTCCCCAGTATTGCTGCTGCTGGTACTGTTCCTTTGACATCGCCACCTTGATTTCACACTAGAAAACACAGGAACGTTCAGACATGAATTGATAGTGGACTACAATCATCTCTAAAATCTATTGTCAAGTACCTTGCTCAGTCCAATGTTGTGGTATTTTCTCTCCATGATCTTCTTAACTGGCTCCTCCTCGTTAAATGTGATGAAGCAGAACCCTCTCCTTTTGTTTGTTTTGTTTTCCATGGGAAGTTCAATGGACTCTATCTGTTTATCATCAACACAACATTACATTCATTTGCCTCAATGCTTTAGCTTCAGTAAACAGAAAATGAGAAGTCACACACCTCTCCAAAGGCACCAAAGTACTCCCTGACTTTCTCCTCAGGAGTGTCTGGAGAGAGACCACCAACAAAGATCTTCTTCACTGGTTCCTTGCTTTTCATGGCCTTGGCTTTTTTGGGGTCAATTACCTTTCCATTCAATTTATGTTCCTTTTGTGTAGTTACCTTAAAAATGACCAAAAAAAGGTTAAGATTAACAACTCTGTCTTCAGATGACTGAATTTTGTAATTTTCATTTCTGTGCATCCCTAATGACTTACTAATGATAGACTAATAACATGACATGATAGAGTAGAATAAAACTGTTATACTGTTTTCTTTTATATTACTAACTGAAATTTAACAAAATAAGTCAACATTATTTGTAATTAGCAATCGTTTAAAAAAGTGATGCTGCGCCACAATAACTAACTAGTGTTTCTTTTTTCAATTCACAAGTGATTTTAGGAAGATGTTATAATTCTTATGAGGTTCACATGATCGGTCCTATAATGTCACTGTACTGCAATAAAAATCATTTTAACCAACACATAGTTACTTTGTAACACTGCTCTTTAAACCTACACAATTTGAATGCACACATATTCCATATTTTACAGCATGCATGTTACCTTATCAACACTTTCTGGGTCTTTAAAGAGCACAAAGCCAAATCCTCTTGAACGTCCAGTAATGGGGTCCAGCTTTAGTGTGCAGTCTACCACTTCCCCAAATTTACTGAAGTAATCTTTTAGGTCTTTCTTGGTCGTGTCCCAGCTGAGCCCCCCGACAAACATCTTTCTGTGGATAAAACAAAGCAGTATTTAAGGGGGGTAACGAACTGTCACAGTGAGGTGATATTTGATACTCAAATAATGTATTGGACAGCTTATGGAACTATATTCGATTGTGTTTAGAAATGTCACTATGTAGGTAATTTTCCACGTACCCTTCATCCTCCTCGTTTTTACTGGCGTCAATCCTGGATCCCTCGGCCTCGCCCTCCATCAGGCCACCGTCCACGCTCGCAGACATCGGCTCGTTGTTGTTGTCCCCGTCTTCGTCCATTTTCATCATGGCCACATCGTCGTTAAAGTCGTAACTATCCGACATATTTGTGCTTGGAGCCCCGACACTAAAGCTTCGTCAAAATTTACAATAAGGGATACGTTAGCTGCAGGCAAACGATAGCTAACGCCGCAGTATGCTAATATGTTGATATTTTTAAAGTTTGCTTAAATCATTTGATTGACACTAGAATAATAACAAGAACACGTGCATGCATTTATATCTACAAGTAATCTTACCGTTAATATGGGCTAAATGTGCTATTTGTTGCTAAAGTGTAACTATTTGCTCAACTTTATTGCGTGATTATTTTATAGCCGATTTATTAGCCGTAGCTTCGTTCTTCTTCTGACGCTGTGAGGGGACAGAAAATGCAAAGTAAGCCCAACACTGCCGCCACAGCTCATGTGCGGTATTACTCAGATGGAACCACTGTCGTTGAAGAAAATAGTTTCCTTTGTACTGATAGTCAGTTTGATGTTTTCTATATGCAAACCGAGATCATGTAGCGTCTTGCATATTATTAATTTCCAAATTGTTTTTGAACCAATTGCCAGGTTCCTGGGTGTGTTTTTAAATTTATTTTTATGACAAGTAATTTTTATCAATACCCAATTAATAATTATGCTTAATACTGATTAATCCACAGTTGCACTGTGAGTAAAAATGTAACACACTGTCAGTGTTTTGGCAACGGAAATGATAAACACAAATAAATAAAGTAAATATATTGTACTTTCTCAAACAAAATGTAGGTGTTTTGTCTCAATTACAGGTTTAAATGTTAAACTGGTGATTTTCCTATAAATAAATGTGTGTACTGTGTGAATAGCTTAGTAGTTAATGCGAAATAACAAGGTATGTTAATATGTCGCACTAGACCCAGTTAAATAGAAATCACAATTCTATACAATAATATTGGTGTATTTGTTTTTTAAACGTTAAAAATCTAAGGTTTGGGGATTCGATAAACCTCCCAACAGGTAGGTGGCGGTAATACCAATATTTTCCCTTTGTCTCGGTGCTGTGACTGTCGGTCCTCCTTCGAGCAGGGAGTGGACTGCAGCGCCGCCACTTGAACATGTGGGCTCTTCAAGACTGCGGTTTTATCCAACTCAGAATTTCTGCTGCCAGATAATGGCAAAGACAGGTCGATAGAGGCCAACAATCAACCGAGTACAGCACGGTTGTCTCTTCGGGGTGCTCGGCTCTTCTTTTCGCTGCTTCCACACCACAGTGCCGCCGCTGCTGTTGCGGGCTCTCAAAAATGGCCACTGTTCCCACTCCTGCTGGAACCTCCGCGCTGTTACTGGGTATTT